TTAAACCTTCCAGTGGCTTCCCACTGTGATTAGAATAAACTCCAAACTCCTTCCTTTGACCTGCCAGGTCCTATGTGATCTAGTCCCTAAAGATCCCTTTGATCTTATCTCCTACTCCTCCTCTATTTGCTTTAGCTGTGTTAATCATCTTTTTGACCTTTGAACTCATTTCCAACTCATGGCCTTTGCACTTGCTGTTCCTATACCTGGAATGCTATTCCTTAAGCTCTTTATTGGCTCTCTCTTCATTCTGGTCTGTTCTCAAATGTTTCTTCCTCAGAGGCTTTGCCCTGACCCTCTTAGCTCAAGAAGTGTTCTCTCCCTTGCCCTCATCAATCTGTCACGTAACCTTCTTTGTTTTATTTTCTTCAAAGCATTTATCACTAACTTTACCACCTGAAATTATTTGTCTTCCTCCTTTAGAATGTAAGCTCTATGAGGACAAGATTTTTATCTGTCTGACTCAACTGTGTACCAGCCCTTAGAACAAACAGTCTGACATATTGGAGAGGCTTAATAAAAAACCTGTAGGTTGAAGGAATTAATAAATTGGTGTGATATCACTAGGAAGCATTTTTTCGTCATTTGGTGGAAAAGCACCTGGAGCAAAGGGGTCCTGAGAGAACACTTGTGTTAATAAAAATGCTTGTGCTTATTACTCCTGACTTCTTGTTCCTGCTGGGACTTGGAGACAGGGGAAAATAGCATTTTGGTCACCCTAAGAGTGTTTTTGAGGCCCAGTGTCTCTGGTCCCTGAGAAAGAAATACCATTGGTCAGTCAAGCAGGTCACTTGGGAAGTTTCTGTAATTTCAGATCTTTGAAAGATCTTGTTTGTTTTTACTATTTCTTTTTGTTACCTACCCTCATTATAAAGTCTTACTTATTTTCTATCTTTTAAGTCATGGCTACTTGGGTGAACTCAGATGAACTTTTAGTTAATTTAAATTTCTTTCTTACATAGATTTATCAAAAGGCAAAGCTTTAAAGCACTATATTACTGATCTGTGTGTTATCAATAAATTGCAATCATCTTCTTTGAATTTTATTTTTATTAACCATTTTTGTAAAGTTACTAATAAAATTATAGACCTCAAAGACAGTGGAGTCTGAGCTTTCATTTTTTAATGTAGAAGTTTATCTCAGTCTAAGAATATAGGTGCATACTCACTATTAGAATATTTTAAACCACCATCTCTCACCCGTTTTCTATCCTCACATGTATATAAAAGAAAAACTACAGGTGAATTAGAAGACGGGAAAAAAAGAGATTCTTAAAAAGTAGCCTTTCAGAGAATATACACAAACAATTGGTAGGATATTTGTAAAAACATGATAGGTATCCTGTAAATATCTGTGGAATGACTAGCAGTCAGTCAAGTTTTGTGCGTATTAGGAAATATTTTATTAATATGTGTATCTCTTCTGGATCATGACCTCGCAGTATATATCATATCGTAAATGCTAGATCAATTCATGCCCCAGATGTTTCAGATTTGAGTAGCTTGCCATTATTTCTCATGGCAACAAAAATCACACTGCTTATAATCTTTGATTTCTGAAGCAAGTCACTTTTTTATTTGTAAAATAAGAAAAAGTTTCCTAACCAATGTGTTTCAGGGAAAGAGGAACTTCATTGGTGTTTTCGCTATCATCAGTAATTTTCTTGTATTGTTTTTCCAGTTAAAGAATGTTATCTCATGGCTCAGGTTTTTATTTTATTTTTCCAATTAAGTGTGAACCTTTTAGGTAAATTTATTTTGTGTCTTTCTGTGAGCAAAGGAGACATGGTATTGCTTCTTTGCAAAGTAATTTTTCAAGTGATGAGAAAATAATATGGAATTATTTATGAAGACGTGATTTAAGACTAATGCCTAATATTTATTGAGCGCTTATGCATGCTAGGCAGTGTATTCATTGCTTTACGCGCAGTGTTTCATTTCTACTAACTACAACTCTATGAGATTCATACTGTTCTTGTTCCCATTTTACATATGAGGAAAGTGAGTGGCACTGAGGGCATCAGTAACTTGCCCAAGATCACAAACATAGCTACTAAGTGGTTAAACTCAGGTTTTAATTCAGCTGTGTCTTCTCTAAATTCCATGTTTTGAACCATGAGAAGCGATAAACTGCCTCTGGAGCTTTTTGAAGTTACCTGGTAAGTCTCACAGATGCTCCAAACTGAGGCAATTATCTTATATGAGTACTCCTGCTTACCTGCACTTTACCGTATTACAAAGAACTCCAAGGGACTATCTAAATTCTTCTGATGGCTTGAGATTTAGTTATCTTAATGTTTAAAAATATTTGTTTTTTTGACGTAAATGAACCATTTGCTTGGAAATTGTTCCATTTGAGTTAATGTGAGGATTGATAAATATGCTTTGAAACAAAAGGAAACTATTGTGACATAGATATTTAAATCATATTTGAATTGAATTTAAAGATGGCTATTTGCAAGTACTTTTAAAAACAAAGTTTAAATTCCAAATTTAAGATGGAAGATTGCAAATTACTATATATATGTTTTTTTAAAGAATGTGATATATGGAAAGACTAGGAGATCGAAATATCTGCTTTCTAGATGTTGTTATGCCACTTACTTACCCTGTGTCTTTTGGGAGTCATTTCACCTCTACCCCTAAGCTTCAATTTCTTCATCTGTAAAATAAACCACCCAAAATTCAGGGGAATGGTACCTGCTCTGTTAACCTAGTTGCACTGGTCTGATGATTACCTGATTAATGCCATGTAAAATTGCTTTGTAAACTATTGATATAAAGCATTTGATGTCCTTGCCAGGTCATTTAAACTCAGAAGCAAGAGTTGGTGTCTATTTTAGTTATATGGATTCTTCAGTTGTTTGGGGGTATATAGAATTAATTCAGTGGATTCATTGTGTTGAATGTTCCCATAGATAAGTGCCTGTATTATAGATAAGCACATAACAGACTTTATGAGTTCAGGAGCCCCAGATTAAGTCTTCAAAGAAAAGCTTTTCCTTGTCAAATTTTCATACCCAGTATTTTATTTTTGCCAATATCTACCCCCATGGAGTATTACGTTTTTGTAGATAAGATGGTAAATGACAGTCTAAATTAAATGACTCATTAGGATTGATAGAGATTTCTTAATTTTTAAGAAAGCAAATCCTTAAAGAATAAAAGATATATTTTATAATGTAAGGGGACATAGTGAAGAATCCAGATGTTATTGCAATGGGGAGGGGGTTGTTAGGCGGTAGAAACAGAAAGGTGATCAATATTTGTGGGAAAATAACCAGTAATAGACTCCAGTCTCTAATAGGGAGCTCCCAAAGGAATAATGAATGAATGCCTTGAGTACCAAACCAACCTAGTTTTCACCTCTGAGCTGTGTTCACTAGGGCAGTCTTATGAAACATAAACATTATGCCATCTTTAGGAGCTTTAAAGGAACGCTGTTGTGTGCTCTCCATTGTCGAGGGAAAGAAATCTATCTCTCATTCTCTCCTTCCCTCCCTGTCCCAGGTAAAAAGGTGAGCATTTATGCAAACCTTACTCTAAAATCTTTGATAAAGCAAAGAAAATCCTATGATGTTTGGCTGATCATTATATGTATATTTGCATTATAACATAATAATTCCATTTTTTGGGAACACATTGTGTGGCAGGTCATGTTAGGCATTTTTCGTATATTTTATTGTTTGTTCTTCACAACACGCCTGAAATTTAGTATAATCTCCCCCATTTTACATGGATGTTGAGGCTCACAGATGTTTAGTAACTTGCCCCAAAATCACACAATAGTGAGTGATCGAACTGGTATTCAAAGCCGTTATCTCTGTGATTCAAAAATCTGTGATTTTTTTCAAAGTTTGTAGTGCTTCCTTGATATGAGGATTTTTTTGTTTTTATAGATCTGGCCCAGCCACTTAAATGTGCAGCCAGATTTGGTTAATCCTGGGGCAAGAATATTACCCCTAAATGTGTTTGGCAGATGATGATGTCCAGGTGAACATGGCTCTTAGCCACAAAGCTTCTCTGAATTTTGTGGAGAGTGTTCCCTTTACTTGTGGACCCTACTGTCAATGTAGATTCTCACTCGACCCAAGGATTCTATGGCCCCTCACTAAAGTGCTCTGCGAACAGACTCTAGTTTTTGAGGAAAGTAAGCATTAACTTCTCTGATGGGGATTTCTGTATTTGGTGTTACTTCTTTCAGAGATATCAAAGGAAGCTTGCACATGTCTAGCGAACATATCTGCTGTCCCGTTATTGAACAGCTCTTGTCAGGAAGTTCTTTTGTAATTCTAGACTAAGGATAATGTTTCGTTCATGAAGGGCTGATTTGTTACTGTTTCATTAAAAAAATTTGAATTAGAAAGTGCTTAGTAAAGAGCATTTGCAGTTAAAAGGAAAAAAGAACCTTCCTAATGTGAATTTAAATAGGCCCTAAGTTGTTTACATTTCATGTTTGTCTCAACCAAAATTACAAAGAATAAATCCTATCTGTGTTATTACCTTCTCCGTAAATTTTCTTCTTCCCTCAGTGTCTCATACATACCTGTACTTACTGTCTTAATTCTTTATGTTCATGAATTGACTTTGTTCACCCAATGAGATTGTAAGCTCTGAGAGCAGGTACTTAATCTTACCATTTTCATGACCTTTGAGGCAATAATTCTTATCCTGAGACCTCTGTAGTAATTCATACAGTAAAGTGGGACAGTCTAACTGAGGAAGGCATCAATATTTTTGGCTTTTAGCTAGACAAACTTCTACAGTGTGATGATATGAGTTATGTCATGATCACCACAAGCCCTGGATAAAATTGGAAAACAAATTTTCATTTAATAAATGCCATTTATTTAAAAAACAACTTTATAAACATGGTTCTTTCATGGTGAAAGGTTGGGAATTAGTGTTTAGTAGTGTCTGGCCCAGTGTTGAGTGATAATGATTACTAAAAATATGATTGATTTATTGATAGAAAGTAATAATGAACTTTTTTGTTTTAGGGAATGTTGTGGGCAATTTGGGACATTCCTTCTTCAGTCAAAGTTTCCTTGGCAGTAAAGAACATGGGGGGTTCTTATATGTGACGTCTACATATCAGTCACTGCAAGAGCTACTTCTCCCAACCCCACCTTACTTGTTTGGGATTCTCATCCAGAAATGGGAAACTCCTTGGGCTAAAGTATTTCCCATCCGACTAATGTTGAGACTTGGAGCTGAATATCGACGTAAGTAGTAAAATATCTTCTAACCCATATGACCAACACATGATGACTAAATAAAGTCTTGAAGTATTTAGAGCCCCCCTGGTGGTACACTTCAGCAGAAGTAGTCTTTTGAAATGGCTAAGCTAAACTTGCTCATTTTCTCAACTTATTTTGGCTATAATGGGAAGGACTGAAAATGTCAAATGAGAAAGTTAGTGATTATTTATTGCCTTGTAAGCTTACTGGTTTTATAGTACATTAATAAATAGATAATCATCTTCAGAAAAGAATGAATTTGAACTTAAGTAACTTTTTTATAGTATCTATATATAGTGAGCATGTTTTTTGTCACTTATGTGGAAAATAGTTATGACAAATATTTTACATACTATAACAGATACTGGAAACTAGTGGTGTAGAAATCATTCTCAGTTGGTAAGGTGAGCAACAAAAGAGCTTCCTTGCCCGTGGTTGTAGCAGTATAACAAAGTTGTCCCTTTTTTTCAGACATTAAGGGCTTAATGCAAGCTCTATTTTAAACTTTGTATCTTCACCTAATTAAAAGTGCCCTGGTCTAGGAATCAGACCACTTGAATAAGGTTCTTAACTCTGTTACTTTCTCTGTAACTTTGGGCAAGTCGCTCACGTTGTCTGCTTCTCAGTTTCTTTTGCAACTGGAGATCAAAATGCTTGCCTTTTCTATTATATAAGATTGTTAAGAGGATCAAATGAGATAATGAAGATTATTTTCTAAACCATAAAACTATATGTGTGCTCATCAAGTCAGCTTCATTCTTTCACTTATTTATTCTTTAATTCAACAAGAATTTAATAAAGGCCTACAATGTGTCATGAATCCTGAGAATTCAGAAATGACTAAGACATGCTTATGGGCTCTTGGGAACTTTTGTAAGGAAGGCATACAGAAATCGTGATTATAGTAGTATGTTGTATTAAAACACATGCTCAAAGTTAACAGAAGTTCTTTGGGAGCCCCAAGATGGGCTCTAACTTACCAAGAGTGAAGGAATTGGATAAGAAACATTTCTTGGACCAAGGTGCCTCTGGACTGAACTGTAAAGGAGGCATTTGAATCAGGTAAATGAAGGAGGGAAAAGAAGGATGGTATGCGGAGGGAATAACATGTGTATCTTCCTGTCTTAAACAGGCAGCTCAAACCGTAAAGGTCAAGGAGTGAGCCAGCATATAGGGTCACCCAGTATTTAGCTATCTTAAAGAGGGTCCTTGTTGGGAGATGTATAAGAGAGAACTCTTTTAGACTTCTTGAGCACAGAGGAATCAGGAGATATTTGTTTCCTGGATCATATTAATCCAGTTTGAAGAAGAGTGCTTCCTAAGACCTTTTGGTCTTTTTTGAAACAGCTGCATCAAAAGGCTTATTCTAGAGGCCAGCCCCATGGCCAAGTGGTTAAGTTTGCATACTCTGCTTTGGCAACCCAGAGTTTTGCTGGTCAGATCCTGGGTGTGAACCTAGCACTGCTTATCAAGCCATGCTTAGGTGGCATCCCACATAGCAGAACTAGAAGGACCTACAACCAGAATATACCACTGTGTACTGGGGGGCTTTGGGGAGAAGAAGAAAAAAAAAATTGGCAACAGATGTTAGCTCAGGGCCAACCTTTAAAAAAAAAAGGTTTATTCTAGTCATCAAAAGACTTACCCTGGTGTGGTTTGTAGGAGGCTCAGGATTTGTGATGCTACTCTTCTAAATACCTTTTTTTTCTTCTGAGGAAGATTTGCCCCCTAGCTAATATCTGTGCCAGTCTTCCTCTGTTTTGTATGTGGGTCACTGCCACAGCATGGCCACCAATGAGTGGTATAGGCCCGCACCCAGAAATTGAACCCGGGCTGCTGAAGCAGAGCACACTGAACTTAACCACTAGGCCGCAGTGCCAACCCCTCTAAATACCTTTTGAGCCCTAAGTTTCATATGTTCTAATGAGCCGTTACAATTATATTTTGAAAACTGTATCAACCATGATGTTTCTTTTACCAGAATTTTAAGCTGCTGTACTTAGTCTGATCATTTCTCATTTCCGTAGTTTATCCATGCCCACTGTTCAGTGTCAGATTTCGGAAGCCATTATTTGGAGAGACGGGGCATACCATCATGAATCTTCTTGCAGTAAGTTGAGAATTTTTATTTTCTTTTTCCTCACTGTGGTTTGTATGGGAGAAGGAAGATAAAGATTTTATTATTTTGTTGATAGCAATGCCACTGCAGCTTCAGGCAGGTGAAGATATGTGCTGGAGGAAAAGAGCAACATATATGTTCTTTGGAAAATATATGGAGCTTTGGAGTGAAATAGTACAGGATTCCAGCCCCTGATTATACACTTAATGTCTAAATGACCCTGCGGGTTTATTGTGGGGACTAGAGTTTGTGTATAATTAAAACTCCTATCATTATGTCTTTTTTTATTTTAAGGCTGGCATCCTAGGGGTGTCCCCTCTTTCTGTATAGCTTATTGTTCAGCTAAAGATTGGTCACAGGTTCTGTTTAAATATCTCAAGCCAGTAAGGCTTCCATTGTTTGCTGATGGATTCTGTGTATGGACTGGAATTCATACTTCCTTCTTTTTCTTTCTGCTGGGCTCTTTCATCTCTCCTCTGCACTTGCACAGGCTCTGACTCTGTTGACCAAGGATGTTGGTTGGCTTGGGTCCACTAAGATCTCTGCTGCCCGTGTGCACAGACTAAGGTCAATCCTTAATATTTGGAGAATTTATGAAGCTCCCTGTGGGTATCTCACCTCCCAGAACCTTCCTTGTTAAATTTCTGGCTAGTCTGCCTACCCGTTACCTGCCCCAAACAGGCTAGCAACTCAGACTAATAGAGCTGCTGGCCCTCCCTTTTCACTAGCTGCTGAAGTTAACGCTTTAACTGACAATACTCCAAATCATGATCCTTCAGTAGCAAAGCTTATTGTTTTCACAAACTACCTTGTCCTGACTGAACTTCCTAACAGGACTAGGGGACAGCCCCTGGCAAGAAGGTTGCAGACTCGACACTATTGTATGTACTTGAAGGTCAGTAGTTTTTACGAATAAACATTTCTCAGTGTGTCATATGCTTTTGGTCTAATTCCAGAGCACTGAAATGTTTGGTTTTGTTTAAACTGTTTACCCAGCTTTTTAGTTGCTTTTAGGGAACTGCATTTGTTTACTTTCTCCCTCTGTCATGCAATTGTAGTTATAGTTCCAGTTACCTTTTACAGAGATTAAAACAGTGGGAAGAACTCTTGTAGGTTTACCCACAGTCACCATTTCCAGTGCTCTTCATTCCTTTGTGTAAATCTGTGTTTCCATGTGGTGTCACTTTCCTTCTGCCTGAAAGATTTCCTGTAACATTTCTTGTAGTATGGGTCTGCTAGTGATGAATTCTTTCAGCATTTGTATTTCTAACAACATCTTTATTTCACCTTAGTATTTGAAGGGTATTTTTGCTGGATATAGAATTCTAGCTTGCCAGTTTTATTCTTTGAGTGTTTTAAAGATGTTGCTCTACTGTCTTTTAGTTGGCGTTGTTTCAGACATGAGGTCTGTTTTCCCTCTTGTCTTTGTTCCTCTCTCCATAATGTTTTTTCCTTCTCTGGGTGCTTTAAAATTTTTCTTTCTATTGCTGCTTTTGAAAATTTGACTTTGTGCTTTAGTATAGTTTTTTTCACGTTTCTTGTGTTTTGGGTTTGTTGAGCTTCTTAGATTTATGGGGTTTTTGTTTCATTAAATACTTTTTCTGTCTACTCCCTTCTCTCCTTCAGGGACTCTAATGTTATAGACATATTAGGCTGCTTGATCTTTCTTTCTCTCTGTTTCATTTTGGACAGTTTTTATTAGCTGTATCTTTAAGTTCACTAATCTTTTATTTTGTAATGTTTAAGCTGCCATTAATTCCATCTCTTTTTTTTTGTAATCTCAGACATTGTAATTTTCATCTCTAGAAGTTTTATTTTGGCCTTTTTTCTATATTTTCTATGCCTGTACTTAACTTTTTGAACATCTGGAATATAATTATAATAACTGTTATAATGTCCTTGTTTTGTAATTCTAACATCTGTATCAGTCCTGGCTTAGTTTCTATTTTTCACCTGTATTTTGAGTTGTATTTTCCTGATTCTTGGCATGCTTGGTATTTCTTAATTTTTTATTGGATGCCAGACATTGTGATTTTACCTTGCTAGGTGCTGGATATTTTTTGTTTCTATAAATGTTCTTGAGTTCTAAGTAGCACAATTAATTTACCTAGAAACAGTTTGATCCTTTCAAGTCTTGCTTTTAAGCTTTGTAGGGTAAAACCAAAGTTGTGTTTAGTATAGGACTAGTTTTCCCTCACTACTAAGGCAAGACCTTTCTGAGTGCTTTTGATGATTTTTGGCACTATTTAGAATTCGACCAAACTTTGCAGAGTAAGAGTACAATCCTTCACAAGGCTGTCAATACATGAGATGCCAGCTGCAAGCTAAAGGGTTCCCAGGTCACCCACTACTTCTGACTAACTGGATACAAACGTCGGAGTTCCCACTACCCCCTTGGGTTTGATAACTCACTAGAATAATTCACAGAACTCAGCAAAGCACTATACTTATGATGACAGTTTTATTATAACAAAGGGGACACAAAGCAGGAGCAGCCAAAAGAAGAGACACATAGTACAGTGTCTGGGAAGGTCCCAAACAAGAAGCTTCTGTGTCCTTGGGGACATGTCACCCTCCTGATATATCAATGTATAACAATATGCACAGAGTAAGCTCTTGAGCTCTTCTGTCCTGAGTTTTTACTGGAGTTGCCTTACTAGGCATGATTGATTGAATCACTCTCCTTTGTTGCCTGAGATTCAGTGTCTTGAAAATCATTGTTTTATGTGTTTTGTGCAGTTTTTTGGTTGTTTCAGGCAAGAGGGTAAATCTGGTCCCTTTTCTCCATCTTAGCCACAAGTGGAAAGGAAATTTTAAAATTATATTTTAATCTATAAGATATATATCTCTCTCTCCTTCTACTCCAATCCCTGGCCCCTTGTCCCTCCCTGGTAACTTTAGTGTTTATTCATTTTATTTTATTGAGTTCATAATAGTTTACATCACTGTGAAATTTCAGTTGTATGTTGTTTCTTGTCCGTCACCATATAACTGCTCCCCTTCACCCCCTGTGCCCACCTCCCACCCCTGTCCCCTGGTAACCATCAAACTGTTTTCTTTGTCCATGTGTTTATCTTCCACATAAAAATGAAGTCATAAGGTGTTTATCTTTCTCAACCTGGCTTATTTTGCTTAACATAATACCCTCTAGGTCCATCTGTGTTGTTGCAAATGGGATGATTTTGTCTTTTTTTTATGACTTAGTAGTAGTCTACTGTATGTATATGCCACACCTTCTTTATCCAATCATCAGTCATTGGGCACTTGGGTTGCTTCCATGTCTCAGCTATTGTGAATAGTGCTGCAGTGAACATAGGGGTGGGTACACAGGTCACTTTGGATTGTTCATTTCGAGTTGTTTGGATAGATATCCAGTAGTGGGATAGCTGGGTCATATGCTATTTCTATTTTTAGTTTTTTGAGGAATTTCCATACTTTTTTCCGTAGTGGCCACACCCATTTGCATTCCCACCAGCAGTGTACAAGGGTTCTCTTTTCTCCGCAACCTCTCCAACATTTGTTATTTTTAGTCTTAGTGACTATAGCCATTTTAACAGGGTTGGCATGATATCTTAGTGTAGTTTTGATTTGCATTTCCTTGATGATTAGTGATGTTGACCATCTTTTCATGTGCTTATTGCCCACCTGTATGTCTTCTTTGAAAAAATGTCTGTTCATATCCTCTGTCCATTTTTTGATTGGGCTGTTTGCTTTTTTGGTAGTTCAGTTGTGTGAGTTCTTTATATATTTTGGAGATTAACCCCTTGTCGGATATATGATTTGCAAATATTTTCTTCTAATTGATGGCTGTCTTTTGATTTTGTTTTTTTTTTTAAGATTTTATTTTTGTTTTTCTCCCAAAGCCCCCGGGTACATAGTTATGTATTTTTATTTATTTATTTATTTATTTATTTATTTATTTATCTTTTTGAGGAAGATTAGCCCTGAGCTAACTGCTGCCAGTCCTCCTCTTTTTTTTTTTGTTTTTGCTGAGGAAGCCTGGCCCTGAGCTAATAACATCTGTACCCATCTTCCTCTACTTTATATGTGGGACACCTACCACAGCATGGCTTGCCAAGTGGTGCCGTGTCCGCACCCAGGATCTGAACTGGTGAAGCCTGGGCCACCAAGAAGCAGAACATGTGAACTAAACCGCTGCGCAACCGGGCCAGCCCCCTAGTTGTGTATTTTCAGTTGTGAGTCCTTCTAGTTGTGGCATGTGGGATGCTGCCTCAGCATGGCTCGATGAGTGGTGCCATGTCTGCGCCCAGGATTCGAACTGGCAAAACCCTGGGCTGCCGAAATGGAGCATGCAAACTTAGCCACTCAGCCACGGGGCCAGCCCCTGTCTTTTGATTTTGATCCTAGATTCTTTTGACTCGCAGAAACTCTTTAGTTTGATGAAGTCCCACTTGTTTATTTTTTTCTTTTGTTTCCCTTGTCTGAGAGTACATGGTATTCAAAAAGATCCTAAGTTTGAAATCAAAGAGTATACTATCTATATTTTCTTCCAGAAGTTTTGTGGTTTCAAGACTTGTCTTCAAGTCTTTGATCCATTTTGAGTTTATTTTTGTGTATGGCATGAGATGATGGTCTACTTACATTCTTTTGCAAGTAGTTGTCCGGATTTCCCAACACCATTTATTGAAGAGATTATCTTTTCTCCATTGTATGTTCTTGGCACCTTTGTTGAAGATTAGCTGTCTGTAGATGTGCCATTTTATTTCTTGGCTTTCAGTTCTGTTCCATTGATCTGTGTGCCTGTTTTTGTACCAGTACCATGCTGTTTTGATTACCATAGCTTTGGTAGTACATTTTGAAGTCAGGGATTGTGATGCCTCCAGCTTTGTTCCTTTTTCTCAGGATTACTTTAGCAATTTGGGGTCTTTGATTGCCCCATATGGATTTTAGGATTCTTTGTTCTATTTCCGTGAAGATGTCATTGGGATTCTGATTGGGATTGCATTGAATCTGTAGATTGCTTTGGGTAG